TGCAGCACCCCTACTTCCCGCGGTACTGGCCACAACACAACAAAACAAACCACAAACACAATGGAAACAAACTACAAACTTAGTACTTAGTACAAACGTTTTTAGTACATTTTCTCTCCTGCAGTTTTTCCAACATGAAGTTACTTTTTTCATCAAGTAGCAGTATAGAGACCAAAAGCTACATTAGAACACTACAAGTGAATGTTAATCACTAAACACAACTTAGAAGAGACTTTATTAAAAGCACTAAATAGAACTAATGCAGTTATGAATTCTAATGAGCAATTATTTACATGTCCCCATAAGTCACAATGCTTTGAGCTAAAACAAAAAATTTAATTATTTAAATCACAAGGGCTTGTGTATTTCCCTAGCCACAAAGCTCATAGAAGATGCAACAATATGAAATTCATAGTACTTAGTCTTAATAGACAGCAAACAAACTTTCCAAGTTTACAAAATCTTTTCAGAAAATCCACTAAATGGAGAATCTTATGCAATTATTTTGCAAGAACAAAAACACAACTCATAAATGCATTAATTATTAAAGAAGAAAATATGGTTAATGGCTAAATTAATTAATTTGTCTTTCTCATGGACTGAGCATTGAGGTCCATGAGGTCCACAGCCTTTTAATTCTACGTTCAACACCAAATGTAACACTGTAAGCTCTCAGTTTTCAGTTTGAGTAGGAGCAGGTCAACGCTTTCAGAGAAAACAAGTAGTCATGCCCTTAGTGTAGCTGAACATTTCGTGGCTTGTTATCTCAAATAACTGTAATACATGAACACAAGCCAGGAGTTGCGGTGCTTTCCTTGGCAGCCCATCATGATTACCTCACCCTGGCATTTTTTCTGGTTATGCATTCATTAATATATTCCCAAAGGTTTTATAAACACATACTCTGGAACTCTTCTCAATGTACACACATCTGCCATGCCTTATGTGTGTGTGTATGAGCACTGTTTATGAGGGTTATAAGTGTCATTTAGCTGCTGGTGGTAAGTTGGTTAAGGTTAAGTGTCTTGGCAGGTCTTTTTCCCAAGAGGAGGCACTGAATGGAGTAACTCCAGTCTAAACATGTGGAATTCTCTTACGCAGAACTTAACTGTACATCAGCCTTAGGCTATTGTGAGAAGATGAACTCACACTTCTGCACTTGTTATCTGGAAACATTCACTAATATGTAAACACTTCTGTGGTTGTGAATAATCCATAAAATATTGAGAACAATTAAGACTGACTGAGAGAAGAGAGGGGTGAGAAGAGTCACATTTTTAAGTGAATTGAGTTTTTACAAAATAGGAACGTAAATACATATATATATATTTTGAAAAAAATTATTAATAATAATTAATAAATAATTTAATTATGAATTATTATTTAATAAATTAATAATTTGAAAGAGATTAATACTTTTTATTTAGCAAGGACACATTCAATTTATCAAAAGTTATTAAAAGTTATTATTCAAACTTTCTATTCATCTAATAATCCTGAAAAAAATTATCATGGTTTCCACAAAAATATTAAGCAAGCAGAAAGTCTCGGTTACGTATGTAACCCTCGTTCCCTGAAGGAGGGAACGGAGACGTCACGTCGGAGGACCGACGAAATTGGGATCTCGCTTAGAGGGACCAATCTACTTTGAGTGTAAACTAAACGAGCCAATGCACATTGGCATGCGATTATTGCATCTTATAAAGACGTAACATCAAGTTTGCCAAGCAATGTCGTCTTTAAAAAGACGCACCCGAAATTGCTCTTTTAGGCGCACAGGGGAGATGATCATCTGCAACACCAACAGGGGGTAGTGCAGCCTGATGTGTGCAACCCACTCGACATGGGAAACCACCACCGCTGAAGCGCCGTCCACCAACACGAAGAGCTCTCCAAGAGCGCGCTGAACTCGTTCAGTCTTTTCTCTCAGTAGAGTAGTCAGGAGCAGAACGATGTGATCGCTCGGCTCCGAAGCGAAAAGCTGAATATGCGCTGCACCTGCTGCCTACTTATACTCACGCTGTGATCAGCAGCAGCTGGATGCAATAATCGCATGCCAATGTGCATTGGCTCGTTTAGTTTACACTCGAAGTAGATTGGTCCCTCTAAGCGAGATCCCAATTTCACGTCGAGAGTGACCGACTGAAAGGGAACAACAGTTTTTTTTAAAACATTGATAATACTTAGAAATTATTATTATAATGACAAATGTTTCTTGCCATGCCAGGAAGTCACATTTTAAAACATAATAAAAAAAGAAAACAGTTTCAATATATAAAAGGCATATGTTTTCATCATCATCATCGCAATACTTCTTAGAAAGAGTTATATGTTTGATAAAGCTGTTCAACAAAGCTCATTCCTGTAGTTTATAAATGCATTATCCAGAGTGAGCGACTAAAACTGGATTTTCAAAAACAAATAATCAGCTAAAATGAAAAGAAATAGTCTGCTGTGATACATTTCTATTATATTTACTATTACAAAATTAAATAAATAAATAGGACCTACCCAGAAACTGGTCTCTATTGTACTCGATATTTCTAAACCCCCAAAGGCAACATTATTCAAACTCATACAGGAAATTACAAAAGTGATTACTGGTAGTTTATCTCTCAGAAAATGTTTCTCTCGTTATCACACTCAAAACTCAAGGGAGTCTGGGCAAAGCTAAGTGTAATGAGACAAAACAAGACTAATAAACACAACACCAACAGATGCGACAAATATGCATGTTGTATAATTTGTGTGTTCATTACTTGTTCTTTTTCATAGTGCATATGGGGCTGTCACGCAGCTTCTAGAAATTTCACTTTGAAAATGTCACCTATTTATAGAACAGTCAGAGTTTTTTTTTTCTTTTTTACTAATTTAAAAATACCTATAACTATTTTGTTGATAGACATATTTATGTTTGTGATGTTCATTTATTAAATAATACAGATAATTTAATTGTTCACACTATTGATATTAATAATATTTATATATAATTTGAATTCTTATCATATAATTATGTATTATTTATGTATAGTTAAAAAAAATTACCCATATAATAATATAAACAAACTTAAATGCAAATGTAAGCATTTAACCATTATATTCAAAAAACGTGTCTGTGGTGACATTTCTCCAAAACTATATTACATTGCTTGTTGTTTCAAGTGAGTGGTGCGAAAAACATGTTCCATTTCATCTGAAACAATTGAATATGAATTTGGCACAATTTTATTATGTTAGTTGCTGAAAAATTACACGTTCAGTGAGTGGCGCTAAAAGGTTAATACTTTATTGCGTTTGAAAATATTGTTCCACCTACACTAAACCCTGCCATAAACCTAATCGACTGATAGTGTTAAAAAGCAAACATAAAGATAAAAGAAAAAAACGCATTTGCTGAAGCAACTATGCCATTTTAGTTTGCTTCCACTAAAATGGATTTGAAAGTTTTGAACAGTTTTATTATATCTTTTGTTTCACAGGACTCGTACTGAGTGCTCCTCATCACAAGTGCAATTCTGTACCAGGTGAGCCACTGAGCAAGTTTACTATGTCAGAAAAGCCATACATATGGAGCTGGTTATGTGATGCAAATGTCAAAATGTATTGGTTTACAAATCATGTACTACAGTAAAAGTGTTTTGAGGTCATAAAATATTGTGCAATGAAATGCAATTAAAACTGAAAGTGCAACTGCAGTAAATTGTACAGGTATGTTTGCAGAGTTTTGCAAAAATGTAGATATAGACACACATTTTTCAGTAAGCCTATGTTGGTTGTATCACATAAAAACAATGTGAATCTAAACTTATCATACAGGCCCATGATTTCTACAGACCAGTTACAGTTCACATTCATAGTACGCCAACTTCTTCAAAACTCCTACACCACTGAGCTTATTAAAGCTGTTTGTTTTAAAGTCAAGGTCAAAGGTCATAGTCCAGAGCCATCACAATCGGGCAGAAAATCCTCCTTTTGCAAAAACGGCAGGCCGCTGACACAATAAAGCTAAACTTTTCAGTCATGTATCTGTCACTTCAGTCCCAATGCAACAACACCCCCTGTGCCCTCTGCAGGATTTAACAGGAGGAGGGGCACTTGCTTTTTCACGATGAGCCCCGGCCTCCGCAGAAAACTTGCTGGAGATTATTCTTGTTGACAGCTCGCATTAGCAGATCAAAGGCAAACAGTTGGGCTACATTACTATTCCTTCTAATGTCTTCAGTCAGAGCAGTCGTTTGGCACACCTTTAACATTTAATGCACGTAGGAGGCGGCCCACTTTCACCCACTCAGAGCTACAACCCTTCATAACCACTAAAGACAAGCTTTTAGATGACCAAAGTTTGATTCAGTTTCAAAGAAAAGGTGAAGTTGATCCTTAAAGGTGAAGTGTGTAGTTTCTTCAAACAATTTGTTTGTCTGAACAATGGAAGATTTTGGTGATCTTGGTCATGCAGCAATTACAAACTTCACATTTATTATCAGAAAAGCATAAAAACCTCCATGTTCCTTTATATAATTTAAAAAGGAAGCAAAAACTGTCTAGCATTGAAGTGAAGATGGATTGCACAGTGCAGTATATCTGGTACACAGTACAAAACCAATGTCCTCAAAACTGTTTGTTTATTTTCTTTTGTTTAATCTGAGAGCCTTCCTCTCAATGGGCAATTCCTAGAGGAAATAGTGTTTTTATTTTATGAAACAAAATGAACAATTCGAAAAGCAAATGCTATCGAGAAGCTAAAACCCAATGATGTAAATGTGAGCCCTTTCTAAATCTAGGCCTGACAAACTGCATCAACTGTAACATCAGTGGGAGTTTGCTGGAGATTTGAGCTGTCAGGGGTAATGAATGTCTCCTAACTAGGACAGGCCATGTAAATAGAGCACAGAGGATGGTGCAGACTGGGAGACGGTCCTCTGGGATGTCCGTGTGTGTGTGTGTGTGTTTTGGTGTTTGAGTGGGTGGACAGACCTGTGGCCTACAGGCGCGCAACTCACCCAAGTTCCATTTAAGCCCAGAAGTGGTGGTTAGACAAGGGCTGCCCACAGGAACCAGACTACACCATTTTCCTTCCAAGCCAGTGTTCACGTTCAGATGGTGCTGTCTGCCCTGTAAGTGTGAGCAAAAGAGTAGGAGATGGTCATAGAATGGAATGAGACTCTATTTGAAAAAATCTAGTAGAGGTTGGAAAATAACGAATATAAAATGAAAATAATGAATATAAAATTTATGAATATAAAAAAAACACAGGTTTTAAGATATTTTTGATGAAATCCGAGAGCTTTCTGACCCTGCATAGATAGCAACGTAACTACCACGTTCAAGGCCCAGAAAGGTAGTAAGGACATTGTTAAAATGTGTCGTGGTACTCTCGTGAACGCGCGGCGAAGACTGAGAGGGAAGAGAAGAAATTGTTGAATAAAGTCGTTATTTCTGTTTTCTTTGCACATATAAAAGTATTCTCGTAGCTTCATAAAAATTACAGTTGAACCACTGATATCACATGGACTTATAATGACTTATACTGTCTTTTTACACGTTGCATTGCATCGTGCCACATAAATATAAAACCCTGTCTGCATTTGTGATTGGAGAAATGACAAACAACAAGTGCTACTCTACACTGCTCAAAACTCGCGTTTGAATCGTCACGTTTTTAAATTCTTTAAATATAAAAAACGTACTTACAGTCTGTGAGTCAGAACAGCCGGCATTGTAGTCTACTCTACCAGGATCAGGAAACAGTCCTCCATAAAATGCACAGGACCCATCTGAATATTTGGGTTGAACTGTTCTGGAACAGTGTTGTAAATACAACTTAACCACTGATTTCTAGTCGTGTCCTCTTTTGGAAGGCCAAACAAAGTAGTTTTGCTTTCACAACGAAACACAGCGTCACACATGGCGGGCTTGAGTGAGCGGAGGCCGGCGGCTAGAGTGAGAGTAGAGTAGCTAGAGGCAGCAACAATACTACAGCGAGAATAAAAGTTATGCCTTCTTTCTTTGCGTGAACATTTGGGCGGCATTATGCAAATCTTCCCACATCGTGATGTAGACATGTGGGGGCGTGTTAGAACGAGCCGTTTTAGGTAGGCGTGGTTGACTCTTAACTTTTATAAAGAATATCTCTACAGATCTTCTTTATGCACCAAGAGCTTGTAACACTCCAAAGAGAAAGGAAAAGTTGAAATTGCATCATATGACCCCTTTAAATACGTCTGGGGCAGCTGGTAGATTTAGAATTGATTATAAATGTAATATTTATGTAATATTATGCCGAGAGATACTTCACATCTATGCTCCTCTACCGCAGACCTGCAAGAATGGAGAAATAAACTGTCAGAAAAGCTGAATTTTAAAACTTTCTCACCCGCAGAGGCACTGGCAACCCACCATTTGTAATGTTGTTCTCAGTTCTTCATCACAGACAACAGTCTAGTTCAATACTGTGATAATTTCAATTATCACATTTCTAAAGTGGTGTCTTGTTGTCGACATACACACGCACTTACTTACTTAAAAGATGAATGACGAAGCTTCTAAAATTACAGATATTCTTGCAAGTGGGCTAGATGTTCCAAGAACTATTGTTTAAGTAATAATTACCACCTATTACATTTGGTAAGTTAGATGCTATTTATAAATGTTTTATTTTAATCTAAACATGCGCTGTGCAAACATCAAAGTTTGATTATTCAAAACTTCTTCTGATCTGTCTCTGAAAAGCCAGGAATAGCAGTAAATGAGTGCTGCACAGACAGAGAACTGAATTCATGTTTTATAAGTCTGCTTTATGAGGGACTGAAGTAGTCAAGGACATCTTTATATAGACTGAGATGCATTCATTTAATTTTTTGGCCCATTACAAGAGCCGATAGATTAAGATTTTCACAATCATCTCAATGTCCTATATTCTCTATGAGCCTCAGCGGTTTATTAAATATTCTCATGCAGAATGCAAAGTAATGCAGCCAGAGCAATTCTGTAAGGTTTCTTATTAGTTGGACAAAATTACAATGTCTTACTATTTTCTATACATGTGTGCAAAATTCAAAACAAGGGCTTTTCATGTACTATATCGTGTTACTGTGCAAATATGACCTGGTCTGATCTCTAAAGCATCATAAAATACACACACACACACATCTGTCACAAGCCTTTATTTGCTTTATATAGTAGTGTTGAATGAAAATGCTGACAATGCATTCAGAATTTTTGGGATCAAGAGCTGTGACCTTTCAAAATTGCACAAACAGGAAACAATGCAGAAGAGGCAGTAAAGTGTCTCTGCAGTTGTTAATTGTTTAATATCACCATTGATCATTAAGTGCCGCAATCAAGATGACAAAAGCACAAACACTGATTACTGCATGCTAATGAGAGGGAGAGAAGTGTTTACCTCTTGGAGGAGGACAGCAAGAGAACGGTCCTGTATAACCACCACAGGCAGGTCGGTCATCTTCTGGGCATGAAACAAGGTCTCCACCGTGGCCATGATCTGGTCAAAGCGGCCTCCAAGACCACCCAGGGTTACGATGGTATCTATCTGCAAAAAATGGTAGATGAGTAAACAAATAAAATAACCACAGAATGAACAAATTAACAGATGAATGAGAGATTGTGAGTTATGTTGCTCAAAAAAATTAACGTACAAACAACTATTCAAACGAATGAATGAACAGATGAACGAGTAAACAAATTAGTGACAATGTGAGCAAATGGCTGAGAATCTACAGAACAGATGTTCGTAAAGTGCTACACAAATGAACAAACAAGTGAGCAAACAAACAAACAAATTAACAAATGAATGAATAATCAAATTGTTTTTTATGTAACTCCAGGATAAATGGTCCATATTTTTCAGAAAGTACTATTGCACCAACAAATGAACGAATGAACAAACAAACACATTAAATCAACAAACAAACAAATTAATTAGTGTGTGTGTGTGTAATCAAAGCAGCGTACATTGGGTTGATTCTTCATGCAGTTCCAGATTGTTTTAAAAGTGCTAATGCAACAAAAAAACAAACAAATAAATGAATGAACAAACAAAAAACGAATTAAATCAACAAACTAACAAATTAATTAGTACGTGTAAGATGTGGACACATTTTTTACACAACGCCAGAATATATGTTTTAAATGTGATATCGCACCAATAAATGAATGAACAAACAAACATACAAATAAATGAATTAATGAACAAACAAACAAACAAATCAGCAATTGTGGGAGAAGAGCAGTGGATTACGATTTTTTATGCAACCCAAGGGTAAATGTTCTCAAAGTCTTGAATGGACAAATAAATTAACGAATCAACAGATGAATGAGCAAACAAGCAAAAGAATGAGTGATTGTGGGAGCAAAACAAGTAGATTGATATTGTTTTATGCAACTGCAGGATAAATGTTTTAAAATGAACAAACAAACATGCAAATGAACGAATGAACAAACAAATGAACAAACGGTCAAACAAATCAATGATTGTGGGTGCAAAGTAGTGGATGAAGTTTATTTATGCAACCCCAGAATAAATATTTTAAAAGTGCTGTTGCTTCAACAAACGAATACACAACTAAACAAATGAATGATTAAACGAACGGACAAACAAATGAGTGATTGTGGTACGTAGATTCTGCAAGTTGATGATAAATGTTCTGAAAGTGCTTTTGCAAAGTTGCACCGTAGCCTTTCCCTTCCCACTGCAGCCAAAAATTATGTCCTTCTTCACTAAACAACAGAGTCATACACTATGGAAAGTATTCAGAGGGAACAGTGCAGACCGGAAAATGTCGACTTGGCAGAATGTCTTTGATATTTGCTCCCGGGACCATTTGTCTGAATACTGCAATGCACCCATCACCCTGTGAGATCCAACAACGCTACGAGACAAAAAACTCTTTAAAATGCACAGAGGGTAATCAACACTTCACTGCCAGCCCCCACTGGCTCATTTAAATAGCGGGACTTAAGAGACATCTGACACATAAATTGTTCTTGTTACAGTGCCTCTGTAATTATGTGGACTGATTGCAAAACTTTTTTAAAAAGCGAAGCAGAAATGATATGTTCGCAACTTGTACTTGGAATCTGAGGGTCAAAGTACGTCTTCACATTACCTGCAAAGTCTAATACGTCAGTTCAAACTTTTTCAGCAAAAACGCAAAAAAACTAATTGGAGACACCAACGTCTCACAGTGCCATTTCTGTAACTATTGGCATAATGTCTGGTACACTTTTCAACTAATTCTGTCCAATAAACGCTCAATTAGACAGGAAAAACCATGGATCAGACTTGCTGCTTTTGGTTTGCAACATGCATCAAATAGTCCATAAATGTTGACTGGCATTCTGTTGGTGTGTCTTCTCAGGCTAAAACCAACTGGAGATAAAGGTTTAAAAGAAGCAGATACATAAACATTTTAATAGTTGTATTTGTGTTTTAGACATCTAAAGACTGACAGAGAGTCTTGTCTTTTGTGAAGACACAAAAGGTAGCACTGAGATACAGAGGTGAATATAAACACAATAGGAAAAAGCAAGAAGGCCATAGTATGCATATAGATTGAGCTTGAGGCCCGTATATTGGTAAAACTCTGGAGTGTCTGTGACGGTAATGGGCATCTCTGTGAGGACTAACAGACAGTCTGACAAGCCTGGAGCTCAGGCTGGGGTTTAGAGGAGGAGCAGACAGACAGACAGACACACACACACACACACACACACACACACACACACACACACACACACACACAATATCCATACAAAACCTCTCTGACAGCTCCTGGAGGATGTGAATTCACACTGAAGCTGAGGTGTGAGCTCACCTTTTATGTTTGATAGGTATAAAAAAGCGAGTGAGAATGAAACCGCTATCCTTCCGACTCAGTTTTCACAATGAACTTGAGTTCTACTTTTCTTACTATTGTAATGTACTCATCTCAATACTTAGATTTTGTGTTTTAGTACACATATTCCTGCATTCCAGAGTGACAGAGTAACACACTTTGATTATGGAGTAACATTGATTTGGAGTTACCTGCTAGTAACATGCAAATATGTTTTCTGTAACCACTTGATATTGGACTAAGTAAAATAAGTAAACAAATAAAATTTGTTTTGAAAAGCACATTAAAAAGATTGTTTTTTAACAATCGTCTGTACAACCATTGTGAAAAAGAAGTGCACTTAATTCTATTGAATGCGCACTAGTAGTGTACTTCAAGTATTGAAACTATATTTAAAAAATCTGTACTTGCAGATAATATCAAATGAATGTGATAAAAGTTCACTTAACTGAAAGACAGCACAGTTTCATGGTTGTTTTCTAATGCACCTTTTGCACTGTCAAATTAAAACTTTTAAAGAACATTTTAAATATTTTTTTAATAACCTTATGAGATTAGATGTACATTGATGTGTTGACTAACATTTTTCAATTAGCTGCAATTAAGTGTCTGAAATCATTACATTCAGTTAAGTATATTCTTTAAGTATGTATACATTAAGTATACACACTTAAGTATATTCTTTTAAATTATATATTTTTTCCGTAATAAGTACTTGTTTTTTTTTTTAAAGTAAGGTAAAGGGTACATTTCACTTGGGTAACTTAACTGGATGTATTTTTCCATTTCTGGTGTTTTTTTTTGTTATAAATATTTGTTATTTTAGCACAACATGTGAGTTGCGATTTGTCAGGACTTTTCTTGCAACAAATGCAAAGTGGTCACGTATGTTCCTGACTGCCACTGAATGTGGTTTTAATAATCCAGTCACAAAACGCTGACCACCTGTGGTCTGATCACCTGACATGGATATTAATACCAGGTGCAAATGAGGTCAAAAAGTTAGTGATCGGTTCTGAAGTGTAAGAGAGAACATACAGACAGACCGATTTATAGAGACGCAGCTGAAGAGAGATGGAGTCCAACCTGCAATTTCTGTGTTTTGATCTCCTCCACCATAATGGCCAAGCACTTAGTGAAGTCTGTCAGATCCTGGTCTGGAGTTTCCATTAGCTTGCAGTTCTGGAGAAAAATAAGTAAAAGGGTTCAAGTTTTTATGGATGTACACTAACATTCAAAAGTTTGGGGTCAGTAAGATTTTCTTTCAGAAAAACCAAAACAAAACATTTATTCATCAAGGACCAATGAAATTGATCAAAGGTGACCGTAAAGACATTTATAATCATGTTACAAAAGATTTTTTTTTAAACTTTTTATTTCAAACAATCCCACAAAAATATTAAGAATTGTTTATACAGGGTGAATTCAGGTTAATTGGGACATTTTTTCCAAGTAATCTCAATGGCAAAAAGCATCAGTTACCTGAATTGACTCTTATTAATATATAAACATTAAGAACTGTTTATCATTGATAATAACAAGAAATAAAAGCTTTGCTATCACAGGAATAAATTACAAATATAAATATAGCTGCAAGCAGCGATGGCGGGCCCAAGCATTAGTTAATATTAAGTTCAAAACTAAAACATTATTAAAATTTAAAGTTTTATCTTTTAACATTAGTTAATACAATGTGAATTAACATGAACATTTTGATTAACTAACATTAACAATCATTAATAAATGCTGTAAAACATATTGTTCATTGATAGTTCTTGTCAGTTAATGCATTTACTAATGTTAACAAATGAGACATTATTGTAAAGTATTACCAAACCTTTAATTATTAATAAGCATTTTTAAAAATGATTTTATTGATCTATAAACATTTGTGAAATATTTTTTGCCTGCATTACAGCTTAGTCTTCATCTGTGAGCTTAACTGTTTTTCATTTTATGTCACTCCCCTGAGCATTTTACATATATGAATCTAGGCATGTTTCCTACGAATGACTTGTTCTCCATATGTAAAGTTTTGAAGAGTCTGGATAATGCACTTTAAAGATATAAGAAAATTCAGATGAATGTCATAGGTCAGTATCAAATGAGTGTCAAATTATTATTTGCAGCACAAAAATTTATGTCAATGCATTTGTATCTTTAGATCTTTTTAAATTGTAAGCAACATAATTATTAACCTAATTATATAAAATTATATTGTCAGTGCCCTACAAATTTACTATTTCTAGGACTTTTTGTCCCTAAAACTGACAGAAAAGGATAAGGACTAAGAGATTTCTTAAGCTGTAATGTTAAAAAAATTAAAAAAAAATTTCTGGTGATTAAAGAGATGTTTAAAAGTCTCTCTCTCTCTCACCCACCCCCACACTCAACACACACCCCCCCACCCCCCACACACATAGAGGAAGAGTGAGATCAGATGTCTGATAGTTTTTACATTTTCTGTTATCCATAGAGCTTTGTAAATTCATGAAACTGAGCATGTTTCCTCAGAATGACTTGTTCTCTGTATGTACAAAGTTTTGAAGTGTCCACATTCAAAGCAAAATAGCTGACTTCCTGTTGGTCGTAGCTGATGAGTGTAAATTAGAAAGTTGTCCGGCTTGATGAGGTCAATATATGTACTGAGTTTGGTGTCTGAAGCTAAAACTAACCCCCCAACTTTTGTCAAAAGGTGGCACTATAGAGCGCCTCCTCCACGCCCATTTATGTAGTTTTGCCAGTGTCTAACTATCATTAATACTGATGTGTGTGTCAAGTTTCATGAAATTCTAAGCATGTTATCTGCCTCAAAAACACAGGAAACAAATGTTAATGTTTGACACGTTGCCATGGCAACAGCATTTAAGATATCAATAACCCCTCAACAGTTTTACATCTGCCGTGTTTTGACATTATTCTGATGAAGTTTGAAGCAAATCAAGGAAAAATAAGATGCTGAATTCAAAGCATTTTGAAAATGATCGTAGATCCCCTGTGCCACGCCCGGGTCCCAGCCTCTGCGGGGATTCAATCCTTAGGGGATCAATAGGGCCCTGCGACTTAGTGGCTTGGGCCCTAAAAAAAAATCCTTAGGGGATCAATAGGGCTCTGCGCCTTAGTGGCTTGGGCCCTAAATATATTTTACAAATAGAAACATAATTTTAAATATATTAAAACAGTTTTTTAAGTTGCAATAATATTTCAGAATATTAACGTTTTAACTCTAATTTTAAGCACATAAATGCAGATTTGGTGAGCATTAAAGCATTAAAAAAGAAACATAAAAAAATCTTATTGCCCCTTAACTATTAGAAAGGTCTAAGTATAAAAGCTGTAATTGGTCATACATTTTATAGCAGGATGTTTGTGATCTAAAAAAAATATTTTTGGCTGAAAGTGGCACAATGTTTAGCAAAATTACTCCTATTAAATCTTTTTTGTTAATTACCACAACAAAATATTTCAATATTTCAGAATTTGATGTGACTGACAAAATCAGATCAAGTATTTGGATAAAAATGGGGTTAAAGGGGAAAACAACGGCCTCTTTAACCTAAAGTTTAGAAACTTTAAAGATGATGCACTATTAGAAATTGCCTTCTCCAAACAAGCACCTCCTTTCGCTTTTTGTCTGATCGCGCTGTGTATTTTGTAAATGGGATCTCTTGTTGTGTGAATTCTTTGAGTGTCAGGAAGGGCAGAGGTGAACGTCGCTCGAATCTATTCTCAGTTCCCTCCAATGGCTGCATATACATGGCCGTCGCAGGTGACTTCTCAGGTATCACAAAAATCTCGCACCCAAACGTCAGCCGAGAAGCTTGTTTCTGTTGCGGCTTGATCTTTCCTTTATTCTCCACAGAGCATCACTCTGGTTTTATTCCTTTTCAAACCCATTTAAATTCAGGCGTCATGCTCTGTCAAACTTCGGTTCCCCCAAAAGCTGCATACAATGGCTTAGGAATGACATAAAAATGCATGTATGCAGGATTATAACAATGCAAATAACCTCTGGTACTCATTACTTAGCAGATGGTTTTCATTCAAACTGATGTACAGTACACTAATTTCAGAGACAGTCCCGCAGGAGAAGAGTGCAGTTAAGTGCTTTGCTCAAGGGCACAGTGGAGGCCTCTCTGTAACACTTCACTTCACAGGTTCACCAGCTTTGTTAAGAGCTTTAGCCACCAGGCTGATACCACACCACACTGCACCTTTCCAGAATGACAGGAAGTCAGTGGCGTGAATCTGTGAAATACATGACTTGAGGAAGTGAGTGGCTGGGGGGTATGGTTGGAAAGGACAAAATATGAATCTCAATCAGAAAGTGTGTCAGCCCAAGTTTGTTTGCAAATAATTTGCATTAATATTTAACTTCTATTTATATCAGGACCAAAAAGTGCTTAAAATCAAACATTCATTAATAAAATCTAATTCATTCATATTGCAATGATCTTCATAGACCAAATATTATGCAAAGATATTAACATAAAACAGGCTAAATATGAAAACGGACAATTCTGGTTTTAAATGTCTATTTAGTTTTGATAGTTTCATGCTCTAGGTCAGTGGTTTTCAAGCTTTTTAATGTCAAGGACCCCTAAATGTGAAGCTTAAACATATAACCCCCAAATATGATGCTAAGATCCTAAATTACAAAGCAGATATGTATTTTAATGTACAAATACCCAATTATACTGTACGAAGAGTGCGAAATTAAAATACAACATGCTTCCAAAATGAAACAATCACCTTATTTGGTCTCATTATTAGCAAATTAATTTATTTAGCAAATTAAATTAATTTATGGAAATGTTTGGAGAAATTGTAAACTAAATCTCATGATTTCCAACCAGTCTCAAGATAGCAGAATGAAAATAATAATATCATTTTTTTGTGTTAAAAATTAGGAATTTTCATAATGATTTTTTATATTTTTATTTAATATATTAATGTATCACATTAACTTGGATAAAATTTTGTTAATGTTTTTTAAAGAAGTCTCTTCTGCTCATTAAGGCTGCATTTCCTTGATCAAACACACACACACACACACAAACAGTAATACTATTACAATATAAAATAACAGTTTTCTATTTTAATATACTTTAAAATATAATTTACTCCTGTCATGCAAAGCTGAATTTTCCGCATAATTACTCCAGTCTTCAGTGTCACATGATCCTTCAGAAATCATTCTATGCTGATTTGTTATCAATGTTGGAAACAGTTGTGCTGCTTAATATTTTTTGGAACCTGTGATACTTTTTTTCAGGATTCTTAATTTAAAAAAAATCTGAATAAAACATTTAAAATAACAGCATTTGTTCATAATTGAAATCTTTCTAACAATATAAGTCTTTACTATAATTTTTTTAATCAATTTAACACATTGCTGCAAAAGATTCTTTAAAAAAAAAAGGAAAAAAAATTTTTTATTCATCAAAGAATCCTAAAAAAGAAAAAAAAGGAAAAAATTAAGCAGCACAACTGTTTCCATTTCACAGGCCCCCAAACCACTTCCCTGGAACAACCTTTAATGCAAAAAATATAAATATGCAATTTTTATGGTATTTTTTATTATTGCATTGAGCATTTCAGCAACTACGTATAATGTATTAGAATATACCTGCAAAGCATTTTTGGATTGCCCCATGACCTTTAACTATAATAATTTTGCACAACAATTCAATACTCTAGCAATACAGATACCTTGGTTAAAAATAGGGAAAACGGAAGAATGTGCAAACATATGGACATAAAAGAAAGTAAGAGAGACATCACAAGAGAGTCCCAGAGAGAGTAAGCTTACCTTTTGTGTGTAAAATGCCTTGACCTCTGGCAGGATTGAATCAAAATCTCCATTTATGTAGTCTGGGAGAAAACTTCATGGGAAGAGAGAGAGAAACTGATGTGAGAGAGAGCGGGAGGAGAGGGTGATGGGTAAAAAGAGCACAATTTGTGCAGCCATCAGATCCTTTATTCATGTGAAATGAAGGTGCGTCTCTGACACGGGCCATGGAAAGCTTCAGTGACAGGACCCCACGAGAACCATTCAACGCCTGCCAGTCACAGCACTATCTATCCCCAGTCATGACAAAAGCGGCACAGACAGCCTCTTGACACAGTGAGGGTTTGAGAGAATTGATGCAGGCTGTGCCGTCACCGTATACCTCACACCAAACTCCTGCAACATAGATTTACGATATATATGGAGGCAATGACAAGATTTTCTTCGCTTAGATGGGCAGAGTATTCATTTTGAGAAAGGCAGATCATGTCGTGGCTTCTTTCGTTTTATTCCCTGAGAGCAGAAATGCATCGTGGGTATCGGTAGGCATTAAAGCATAAAGACTTGATGTTACGATTTCACGCTCTGCTGGGTGGTGCATGTAGCTGCTGAATGAGCAGAGATGCGCTGCCGAGCTGGTTTAAGAGTAACACTGCAGCGGATTACAGGAACGCTATCTTCATCTCACGGCTGAATCTGAGGCCCAATGAGGAGGAGAACACCGGCGTGCAAATATAGCTTTGTTACAAACAGGTTATGTGGGGAATAAAAGCCAATTCAATGTCACTAAATTTGCCAAGACAATCATCAATATTAGTAGCATTTGCATTTTAAAATTCATTGTTCTTTTTGTACTTTTAAGCAACAATTATTTCTGAAAAAAAGAAAATACAATTCTGCTGCCAAATGATGAAATCATTTCAATAACAAATTTCAGACAAACTTCTAAACAATTCAACATAAATGGAATCCAATCCTTTGACTAAATTATATGTTAAACAACAATACTAAGTAAGCAGTTTTTGCACTGTTTGAACTCACAAGAGTCATTAGTTCAGGAATCAGAGTACACTGGTCACATTGTTATCTTTTTGATTCACTAAAAAGAAATGACTCACAAGAATCATTCATCTGGGAATTGGACTGTTACGCAGTATGATATACCAAAACGAACAGACTCCCAAGAACAATTTATTCAGGAATCAGATTAGACTGGTTGCCCTATATTTTTTGATTCACTAAAAAGATCTGACTCACGAGAGTCATTCGCTTGGGAATCAGACTACACTGATCGCGCCATATGTGTTTGATTCACTAAGCAGAACCGATTTGTAGAGTCATTCTTTCGGGAATTAGAGTAAATTGGGCGCACTGTATGTTTTTTTATTAATTTAAGAGAACAGACTCAAAAGAACCATTCTTTCAAAAATCAGACTACTGCTGAATGCTTCTGATTCACTAAAAAGAAGAGTTGCTTTGTGGAGTCATTCATTCGGAAATCAGACTACACTGGTTGCACTGACTGTATCTGTTTGATTCACTAAAAAGAACTGACTCACAAGAGTCATTTGTTCAGGAATCAGAGTACACTGGTCACCCTGTATCTTTTTGATTCACTAAAAAGAAATGACTCACAAGAGTCATTCATCTGGGAATTGAACTACATTGGTTGTGCAGTATCTGTTTGATTCACCAAAAAGAACACACTCATAAGAGTAATTTGTCTAGGAATTAGACCCGACTGGTTGCTTTTTTTTTATTCACTAAAAAAGGAATTAGACTAGATTGGTTGCTTTGTTTTTTTAATAATTTTTTTTATTCACTAAAAAAATCTGACTCAAAAGAGTAATTTGTTTAGGAATTGAACTACACTGGTTGTACTGTATCTTTTTGATTCACTAAAAAGAACTGACTCACAAGAGTTATTCATCTGGGAATTGGACTACACTGGTTGTGCAGTATCACCAAAAAGAACACTCACATGAGTAATTTGTTCAGGAAATAGACTAGACTGGTTGCCTTTTTATTTGATTCACTAAAAAGATCGGACTCGCAAGAGTTATTTGTTTAGGAATTGAACTACACTGTTTGTAAAGTATCTGTTTGATTCACTAAAAAGCATTGACTCACAAGAATCATTTGTTTGGGAATCAGACTACACTGGTCACACCGTATGTTTTTATTCATTTAAAATAGGCGGAAAATAACCATTCGTTCAGAAATCAGACTAGTCATGCTCTATGCGTTTGATTCTCACAAAACGAAGAGTCGCTTTGTAGAGTCACTGATTTGGAAATTGGACTACACTGGTTGCACTGACAGTGTCTCTTTGATTCACTAAACAGAACTCACAAGAGACATTTGTTTGGGAATCAGAGTACGCAGGTCACGTTGTATGTTTTTTTAATCTATTTAAATGAATGCACTGTTGTGCCATCACTATATAGTAAGTAGCTCATGAAACTCTGTCAGAGTATTTAAGTACTATACTCTGTCCATAACAGTGGAAAAACGAACATGGGAAAACCATTAATATAACCGTGAAATGTAGATCTACAAGTAATTAAGCATATTATATCATGTTAAGATTAAACATGGTTATATAATTTGTGCCCCTATGGATAATCCAGAATGCTTCTGGCTTTGATCCAGGGTTCAATGTGTGAGAAAAAGCAATTCAAACCAACAAACGGTTTTAAAGCTTCCTGTTGTGTCCTCTCCAACAGACTCCCAGTTAAACAGGAAACCATAAATAACCCTCAGCAGTGACAGTTCTGCAGCCACATTAAGGTGAAGCTAAATTAAACCTTTCCTTTTGACATTTTATCAGCAAAACAGCTCCTTCCCACCGCAAAGCTCAAATTGGAGGCAAAATACACCTCTTTTACATTCAAATTAAAGTGTCACTTAAAGTTAATCGTAATACAGGGACTATACCTCATTGGAAAAGAACTCGATTTGGACCGGCACAGAGAAAATTAGGATTAAGAATTGAAGTAATTCCAGAAGGTCAAGACCTAAGCCAGTGGGAGAGCCTGAGACCAGACACCCTGTCGCATCAGATGCTTCATTCATTTTGTCACAGCCCAAGGAGGCAAGACAGACAAACGAGATCACAGTTATCGCTCCGGCTTTCTTGTTTTTTCCTTGTTACACTCTAAAACAACATCAATGAGAATGTGGGGAGGTGAAAATTGGGCTCCCAAGTGACATTCAAGAACAAAACTACATGCAAATCCTTAAACGTCTTGTGTTTTGATGCGGCCTCTCTTTGCTAATAAACGATGTGACTGTTCATCGACAGGGGAACTTCATATTGGCTTCATTTCGTGCAGCACAAGTTTCGCTCTATTTTGTACGTCAATAAGCCCACTCAGGACTTAAATAACAGATCGCCTGCTTTATGCCTGGCAGTTTCACACACCCCTCAGAATATCAAGAGACCTCTTCAGCTGTTGCTTCATTACAGACAGTCTGGTGAAATCATAAAGCCGCCCCTCCTGAGTGGATCATCTGAACAGATGATCAGCTTTTGATTATGCCTCAGTGTTCATTTTCGACTCCTTGATAATCAGCAAAGGTCACACAAGTACTTCAGAATAACTACATCCGCACAACACGTACCGAGCTGGAGTACTGTACATTAATGTGCAACCATAGATACGTACCCTGCGTCCGAATATGCATACTTTACTTCCCTGCTACAAATGCATATTTGTGCTAATGATGTCACAAGTCCCTGATTATACAACCTCAACAACTGCACACTTCATGTGGTTTTTTAAAAACTTTTTTAAGCGTCATTACTTATTTCATACTGTATGTGACACAGAAATCATTTACACAAAGAAGTCTTAAAGGAATGTTAAAAAACGGCAATTTAACTGTAAAACAGTTCTGTAGTAGTAAATTACATACATTACAAGTGAACTATAAGAGTATAATAAAATTTTATAAAAGTGCAGAGTATGGCTGCTTCTAGATATGGTGTGAAATAATAAATTACTGTCTGAAAAGACTTTACATCTTTAACATTCATTGTATAAATTGATATTTTATGATGCAAATGCATCATTCGAAACCTGCTACTGTGCTTTCATTAGGGTTCATTGTCAATATAATAATATGTAGGTCTCTTAATTATATAGAAATCTCTTATGCTCACCCAGACTGCATTTATTTGTTTTAAATTAATTTAATAATTTTAAATGTAACCATTTTCTATTTGAAAACATTTTAAAATGTAATTTATTCCTGTGATGGCTATTTTCGGCACTACTCCAGTGTCAAATCATCTTTCAGATATCATTATAATACGCTCATTTCTTATGAATGCGGAAAACATGTGTGCTGCTTAATATTATCTGATCACTGCGATACATTTTTTACAATTCTTTGATGAATAGAAAGTTGAAAAGAAGAGAAAAAAGGGTACAAAAATCAGTCTTTACTGTCACTTTTGATCAATTTAATGCATTCTTGCTGAATAAAAGTTTTAATTTATTTCAGAAAAAAAATCTTACTGACCCCAAACTTTTGAACAGTAATATAATATAATATATAAAAAGTTCTCACTTGTCTCTCTCTGACTTCAACAGTAGATGTTTTAAAATAAATGTATTTATATATTAATCTAACAGTTAATAAAAATCTGAACACTGGAAGATTACCCAGAGAGCAATCGGTGTTGATAATTCTAGTCTGGGACTAGAAAACTGTTCCATAATAATGGCCGATGCCATCTGCAAATGGCAGAATAAAGCATAGTATGTTTCATGAGCTCTAAGCAATAGCGTGTTCACTGCTTCAGTTCAAAAAAAGCTGAGCTTTCTAAACTAATCAAAGTGCTGGGAAAGGTCAATGCGGTAATTACATTTAAGGCACTGTGAGATAATAACAGGATATGTCTTGATCTGGGCACCAGCTCCTCTGACGATTTCTCTCCCTGTCAGCTCCTGTTTGCACAGGAAGATTAAAAATGAATAATCACTGTGGATGCATGTAATTAGGCAAGGCCAGAGGTCTACCAGACATATGAAATGTGTTCCCATCCTGCATCAAAAAGACTTCTGGGAATGTGCAGTCACTGGTCTAAACGAATCAGCTTTTGCTCACAAATGAGTATAAAACAACAACCAGATGCCACAATGTGCAGCCTGATTTGCAAGTATCATTAGATACACATTGTAAGTTTTGGTCAACTCAATTTTCAATTAAAGGGATAGTTCACACAAAAACTAAAAATCTGCCATCACTTATGCATGCTCATGTCAAGATAATGAAAGCAAATGAGGACTGGAATGGTCAAGCTCTCAAATGACAAAGAAGAATCATAAAAGTACCACATTAGTGTTTCAAATGACTTATGTGCCACATTTCAAGTCTTCTGGTCATATGATATCTCTTGTAAGAAACAGATCACATTTAAAGTTGTTATTCATTGATATTCCTTTCTTCCAGTGAGTTGGTAACACTGGCAAATGATCATTGAGTCAGTGAGTTAAACTTGACAACTCAATCAGCTCTATTAATGAACAAATCGCAGACCATATTTAGTGAACCGGATCAACCGATTCATTAAAATATCTGAATCATTCAAACCAGTTTTATGGACCGGATCAACTGATTTGCTTAAAGATTTGAATCATTCAGTTTTTGTGAACTAAAGCAAGCAATTAATAAATAGATCTAAATCATTCAGAGCATTCTTTTGAACTGAATCAAAGAATGCTCTGAATGATTTAGAAAAAAAAAACAAATTATTCAGATCAGCTTAGATCAACTAATTAATTACAAACATCTGAATCATTCAAACTGAAATCAATGCTTTTATTAACTAGATCAACTAATTCACTTAAGGATCTTAATCGTTCAGATTAGTTTGAGAACTGAATAAAGCAATTAATTAAAAAGATATGAATCATTCAGACCATTTAAAACAAAAAATGAAATTGACCGAATCATTCGACAAATTTGAATTATTAAGACCAGTTTTGTGAACTGAATCAACCAATTCATTGAAAAGATTTGAATCATTCAGATTGGTTTTGTGAACTTGATTAATCGATTCATTAAAAATATCTGATTTATTTATATAGTTAAGGAATGACATGAGGATAAGTAGATGACAGAAATTTTATTTTGGCCTGAACAATCCCCTTTAATTCCTTCAAAAATGTGAATTCCTTCATTTCATCTAAGGAGAACCAAAAAAGCACTGCATCTGTTGATGATATTCATTTCCAAATATGGAATATTTTGCTTGTTGTTCTACTCGCAGAATTAATTTCCAGCGAGTAGATATTCCCTAATGACACCGCATATGGCTAACTGTCTGGAGAAGGCTTCCATACTCTCTTCTGGCAGCTCTGAATAAAATCTACAGATGACAACAAAAGCATATGGAGTAAAGCAATGACAGGTACAAGAGAATTGATGGATGTGACATGGAACAGGGCCTGCTGTATGTGTGCATTCAAAAGATATTGTTTATTTTTTGGAATGTCCTTTGAGGTGTCTTTGGCAGTGCTGCTGCAAGCTGATAAGCTCAAAACAACAGGCTTCTGACGATCGCAGCTGAAACATACTTTACTGGCAGTGCGCTGAATGGATCATTAGCTCCCTACGAAGGCATTCTCACTCTCTTAAATATGCCTGCCGTCACAATAAACCAGCTGTTTTGAAGCAGCAGCTTAATCTATTGTACGTAGCTTAATACATATCAATTTTATCTTCTCATTTGCTGTGTCTTCAATCTTATTTAAATCCATAAAATGTTATTTTACTGGCTCAAGCTTCATAACAACAATATCATGCTTATTCATTTCAGATTTAAAGAAGTGCACAAGAAGTGTATTGCATGTTTTCAGTAATTAAAAGATATTAACGATCATTGTGATGTCATAAAAAGACAGTGGCTTTAGTTTTAGAGCACTGACACCCTGTGGTAACACAATAACGTCTCGGTTACGTATGTAACCCTCGTTCCCTGAAGGAGGGAACAGAGACGTCACGTCGGAGGACCGACGAATTGGGATCTCGCTTAGAGGGACCAATCTACTTCGAGTGTAAACTAAACGAGCCAATGCACATTGGCATGCGATTATTGCATCCAGCTGCTGCTGATCACAGCGTGAGTATAAGTAGGCAGCAGATGCAGCCCATATTCAGGTTTTCGCTGATGAGCCGAGCCGGTGACCCGGCCGCTCAGCGGTGGCACAGGAGCTGTGGCGACGGGACGTGACGTCTCCGTTCCCTCCTTCAGGGAACGAGGGTTACATACGTAACCGAGACGTTCCCTCTCAGTCGGTCACTCTCAGGAGCAAAGTCTTCATCAAAAGGAACTCCACCTCAACCGTCTGCAAAGGCTCAAATGGGCCCTGCTGTAGTGCCGTGAGCACTAGAGTCAGATCCCAAGAGGGTATAGAGGGGGGCCATGGAGAATTTAACCTTCTCGCCCCCTTAAGGAACCTGACGACCAGGTCATGCTTCCCCAGCGACCTCCTTCTACGGGGTCGTGGTTAGCAGCGATTGCAGCGACATAAATTTTAAGGGTGGAGGGAGACAGCCTTCACTCCAACACTTGCTGCAAAAAGGACAGCACAACTCAGATCGGGCATCTTCAGGGGTCTCCTCGGCCTGAGAAGAACAACACTCAACGAACAGGTTCCACTTCAAGTGTAGGCTCTCGCTGAAGTGATGGTGTCAACTACCTCTTGGGGTAGGCCACTCAGAACCTCTGCGTCCCATCCAGGGACTTTCTGGACATGAAGTTTCCAGAGGTCTGGACGCGGGTGCCAAAGGGTCTTATAAAAAGCTACTTATACTCACGCTGTGATCAGCAGCAGCTGGATGCAATAATCGCATGCCAATGTGCATTGGCTCGTTTAGTTTACCCTCGTAGATTGGTCCCTCTAAGCGAGATCCCAATTCGTCGGTCCTCCGACGTGACGTCGAGAGTGACCGACTGAAAGGGAACGTATGTTTACCAGCCACTGCATTCTCACATCAATTTATGTTGGATTAAAACTTCAAGTTCCATTGAGTTTGGAAAATTCTGTACACAGTAATCATCAGAATATCTCTTCTCATGTCTCTGAAAATGTCCGGATTTTAAAATCATAGCATGGACTTTCGTTTAAATACGCGTTTAAGTCAACTAGATGATTACAGCATATTGAAAATACACATAACCGGAAATAACCGAGCTGTATTATTTCAAAACGGAAGTGTGCCACGAGGCTCAGTGCATGTGGTCCATTATAAGTCTTACAATTTGTTTTTTAAATCCCACAAAATTGGTCCCATTCACTTCCATACAGTAAATGACCTGTAATCTTTAATGTTTGCTTTTTTCTAAATGACGAACAGGGGTGACTGAAAATAATAATAATAATAATGATTTTTATTTGCAATAATCTACATTATACTACAAATGCTGTCAACTGACCTTAACTTGTATTACACCTGGAACATTCCATTATCAAAAGATAAACACTGTCTCAAAATTCATGATATTTCCAAATAAAAAGGAACCAAAGGTATCAAAATAGTCTATACAACTCATACACTATATTTCAGTGTGTTCACCGCACAGAGATGTCACATAGCTTCAGAATTCATCTCTGAATATAAGTCACAGCAACCACTTTTATTGTGTTTTTTTTGGAGCTTAACAACTAGAAATAATTTTTTAGCTGCCAAAATAACAAAATGGGAGTTTGGAATGCCATGAGTGTGAGTAAATAATTACAAAATTTTCATTTTAAAATAAACAAATGCACCAGTATGTGTTAAGTCCCATCACTCAGTTGTGATTTCGGTGCTTGGAGAGTCTGAGACTCAGCGTTATTTTTAGGTTGTAGAACAAAAAGGCACCCAAACAAAAGAAAACAATTGTAAACGGCTCTGGAGGGGAGAGAAGTACCCAATTTAGAGGCCTGAAGATGAATCTGGCCTGTCAGGCACTGACAAAAGGTGATGGATTAGGAGTTAAGTCCTCTGAAAGCACTCTGGCAAGCGGGATACTCCTGAGGCCTCCTACAAGTCCAGCCGTTCTGGGAATGAACATGTGCAATGACACCAGAACCTTGACATCTCCAGATCCATCTCTGCCCTCCGAGTCAATCGTGATGGGAGCCAAAATAGGGTTCTCACCTCTCGCGACGACCCTCCGTGAGCCGGTACAGATGATTGGCACCTCCGTCTGCACATGCTCGGATCTTGGCTGAAATGGCAGGAAAGAAACAGGAGGTGCTTAGATGAATCCTTGATCGGCTTCATTACAACTCAGATCTCGCCGTAAAGATGAGTGAAGAGATAAATATCATTGAAATCACATTATACGGTTATACGTTTGAAGTCATTTTCGAGCCCATCTCGGTAACTGCTGACATGCTGAAATAAAAACAAATAGATTATTCTAGATCATGGCCTGGCTGACAGTAATGGCTCCCTCGTGCCTTTCGCGAAAGCACTAATCATTTCAGGATGAAGGTCATTCTGTCCTGTCAGGATCATCATCGATTCTGATAAGCATGGTGAGCCTTGTCATTTTCAAGGTAAGGCCAATGGGAAGCTAAATCCAGTTAAACAGGCCACTGGTTTTGACGAGATATGACAGTCAAATCTACATAATGAATTTTGATCGGCACTGTATGTAATACTACATGTACTATATCATATAATGATGTCTTTAGGAATGCCCCTTATATGAATATTTTTTATATAAAAATATATAAAATTCTAAAACTAATTTTAATATGTCTATACAATAAACTTTATATGTATTATTTAAATAAATATAAAAAATTAACTATAAACTATAAATAACTAATAAATAAATATCCAATAACTCCCTAAAATTATGAAAAAATATAACACGTGTATTTATTTAGCAATACATATAAGTTTTTGTATTGTTATAATATATAATTATTATTTATAATTATACAAGAAATAGAATATATATATATATAATTAATATAGTAAATATGAAAACAAACTTTATATGAATTGCATAAACAAACAAATAAATAAATAAATAACTTTCTAAAATTATGAAAAATATAATGGATATATATATTTATTTTGCAATAAATATGAAATTTTGTATTATTATAATATATAATTATATAAGAAATAGAAATATATATTTTATATATATGCATGAAATACAATAGATGAAAATGTGCATAAGGCATTATGGCAACATTTATAAAGTGCTATATAAACAGACTTTAAGTAAAGTGTTACCTGAGACTCGGTTTCAGGTTTTAATTCAGTGCAGGCTGACAAATCTGGGAAAGATGTAGCGGCATATGCTCAGTTAGAAATGTACAAATAAATACCATCTAAAAGTTATATTAAAATGATAATCCCGCCGACTTTGAAGTCTGACATGAGCAGAAGTTCAGAGAAAGTGCTCTTGACTTTTTGTAGCTGATGAACTAAAGCACACAGATGTGGGATTCACTCTCTAGACAATAGCAAGAAGTAACAAACAGGAATTTAAAACACAGAACATTTTCACTGAATAAATGAGTTATTTTAAACCAGGTGCTGTTAGAGTGACGGCTTTTTTTCCTTTGAAGACTTTCCTTCCTCCATTTATAAAGTAGCTTGGTTGTAAGCCTGCAATCCTATTATTTAAACCCACGAAAACCCAACGGTATCACATTTATAAACAAACAGAGGTGACTTTTATGTTTTTTCCAATACATTCTGTGAAAAAGGGAGGGAATATTTTCACGGCCGCATAAAACAAAGATGATTTTCTGTTACGCTTATAAGAGTGAGGAATCGTCACAAAGATCATGTCAAGACGAATGTAATCTTGTCAGCACAGCTGGTTTATGGCCAAAGCATCAAGGTAAGAGAATTGCATCATATGCCTCATGAATAATGGAATGTGTTTGCAAGACACTGCTGCGATCTTAATGGACACGATGGCTTTAGGCTTACTGTTAAAACAACTTTTTTTCAGGTGAAAGTACGAGGAGGATCAAGGGAAACATTTTCAAACAGTTAAACACCTGTACAAATTAATTGTCACTACTTTTTCTTTGCTTGGTGACACAGGAGGGGGTGGAAGCACTTGTGAATAACACAAGAACATTCACTTTCAATTTACATGGCACCTTCAATGATTGAATTAAATTCTGCACTCTTGAAAATGTGTGATAATACACTTTGTGACTGCCTGCAAGGGCCATCTTGCTCTGGATGGCTCTGGCTTTGGCCTTTGCTGTCTGTTCTCCCACTTGTCTAGACTTCTAAACAATGTCTTAGACTCTACACTAACTTAAAGTCTACCTAAATGGTGTTATTTATCTGCAGTCTAAAAGCTATTTTGTGGTCAATGACTGATTGATATCAATTGAAGATCAATCAATGACATGAGAAAAGCCAAATTAATGATTCAAATTGACAGTTGAGAACTCTTGAAAAATTTCAAACACATTCCATCAATCCATCGATTCAGAGAAAAGCCCCTAAATTAATTTAAGGCAAATTCCCTACATACACTTATGGTTACACTTTAGTATAGGGACCAATTCTCACTATTAACTAGTTACTTATTAGCTTATATTTAATATTTATATTTAGCTTATTATTATCTTGGCTTATATCGAAATTCTCTAACATTTTTCTTTACAAATCCTCGTTATGTACTTATAATTTGTGAACAGCGTTTTGCTTTGTTCTCTCTCCGCTGCGCTTCTGTGTTCATCACTAGCTGCGTTTCCATCCACCTATTTTTATGCACATTTTGGAATATTGCATAAAAATCGCTGGATGGAAATGCCAAGATGCGCATAAATTCTAAAAATGCGCAAATAAAACTTATGTGCACATTTGAGTAGGATAAAGAGTGAACTAACCCTTTAAAATAAAATGTGATCAAATGTATTTATTTATTTGTTTGCAATAAGTATAAAATATATTTTTATATTAAATTGCATGCATACACGCACATACAGCCTACATACTGGTTACCGCATTATTAATCAAACTGCGGCAAGGACGAGAAATTGTTGAATAAAGATGTTTTTGTTTTCTTTGCACACAAAAAGTATTCTCATTGCTTCATAAAATTAAAGTTGAACCAAAGATGTCACATGGACTATTGTAATGATGTCCTTACTACCTTTCTGGGCCTAAAACGATGTAGTTCCCTTGCTGTCTATGCAGGGTCAAAAAGCTCTCAGATTTAATTTAAAAAATCTTAATTTGTGTTCAGAAGATGAACAAAAGTCTTACGGGTTTGGAACGACATGAGGGTGAGTAACTAATGACAGAATTCAAATTTTTGGGTGAACTATCCCTTTAAGACATTGTGATACGTTTCATTTATTAAAATAATCATTCCAAATTACTGTGTTAAATCAGTGCCTCGGGCCACAAGCTTAGTGTTTTAAGATTATTCAAGAGTGGTTTGTTGTTGTATAATTATCACTTTTTAAAAAATATTTATTCAAAAAGCAATAAAACACATTTTATAAGGTTCTTTACAATGGTGCAGTTGACGTCTGTCTGTAATGACCTAGATAAGATATACTTACAAAGACACAAGTAAACCGTAAAATCATTTACTCTTCAGTTCTGAAATAATGTCTCATGATGATGCATCCAGGCCAGTCATTCATTAGTTCCCAGACAGCTCAATTGGTTTGGCAAAGACATCATCATTTGTTCGTAGGGTGATTACACTGGCGTTTTCAATGCAGTCTCGGGAGGTGAATCAAAGAAGCTTTTCTGTAAATATCCCATCAAAGTAAACAGCGTGCTACATCTCTAACCGGAAAACAAGGCGTAATTCAGTGCAGCCGAGAACTCCAGGAGCAAGACTTAAAAGCACCGGGCTGAATGCAAATGACTCATTATTTCGACACCAGGCAAATTTATTAATATGAAGACTTCAATAAAATGAAGACTTAACCACATGCAGAGCAAAATAGGCAATAGTATAACATCCATAGTCATGAATCTTGAAAATCGACAGCACTTAAACTGCTTTCAGTTCTAAATGTGCTATGAATATCTAAACTGTGGGTTCAATTACAGCTGCAAAATCTGCTTTTCAAGACTTTGAATTTAAGGAATATCGCCTTTGGCTTTTGTTCATACTGTTAATGAACAACAAATCATTGATTTGATTGATTGATATACAATCAAAATTAACTGAATCTATAAAGTTTTAACTACTGAAAAGCTTTACAAAAGAGTTTGTGGTGGGTCCTCCAATAGTAAACAACCAAACATTCTCACTTGTGGTGAGGCAGCATTACGACGTCCGGAGATGCTGGAGGGGGTAAATCATTCGTGAATGCTCTTTCATCGAAGCCCTGGTGCAGGACAGATAACCTTGTAAATAAACACTTCATAATCCACCAGCGGTGCTTCCTCTTCCTGTCATGAACTTTTGCTACTCGGCCGGTGTTTTATGGGGGACAAATATTGATGAGGCAGACTTTGCTGTCGCTGATTTAATGTCTTTTGGCAGTGGAAGTGAAGTGAAGCCTGTGGCCTCTGTAAATCAAAGAGGGACGAGTGGTCAACGAGCAAAATGGAAGGTTAGTTCACCTTTTAAGATGGTTTCTTTATCCTCAAAAGAGTTGAGAGTGAGAATGGGTGCAAAACTTTTAATTTAGGTCTACAGGAGGAAGCAGGAAGTCTGGGTGGGATATATATATATTTCTTTTAAATTGCCAGTAAGATGTATTATTTGCCACTTGATGTCACTTGCAAGTGGTGTTATTTCCAACCCGATCTCATGGCAATTCATGCATATTTTACGAGGTGGCTAATTCGTACAAATTTGTACGACCTCATAAAAATCAGTATGATTTTTTCTAAATCGTACGTATTTTACATGTTCCCCAATTCATATGAATTTGTACGAATGAGCTACCCCTAACCCTGCCCCTAAACCTACCTGTCACTGGGGTCTAGACAAATTATACAAAATCGTACAAGTGAGGTCATACAAAAAACGAATTAGCTACCTCATAAAATACGTATAAATTGGTTGTGAGATAGCATTGTTATTTGTCATCCTAGAGAGCATTTGATTTCATTTTACTGTGGAGTACAAGATGAGTAATCAATATTTTTGCTCCATTTTTATGCTTTTTTTTTTTGATCAAAACACAGTAAAATAGTAATAATGTGAAATATTAAAAACTGTTTTTTATTTTAATATATTTTTTAAATGTATTTATTCCTGTGATGAAAAAGCTAATTTTCAGCATCATTACTCCAGTTTTCAGTCTCACATAATTTTTTTTTAGAAATCATTCTAATATGCTGATTTTCTACTTCTATTTCTAATTATTAATAATTTTGTAAAAAGTTATGCTGCTTAATATTTTTGTGGAAACGATGATACATTTTTTCCCCAGGATTCTTCCATGAATAGAAAGAAAAAAGAACAGCATTAAAAAAAAAATAGAAATCTTGTGTAAGTTTCTGTCAATTTTCTGCTAAACGCAAATGTTTAGGAGTAGCAGACAGACGGTCTCAATGACATCAGATATGGACTGAAAGCCACAAATCTTTAAATCACTATCAAGACCATCAAGTGACCCAAACCTACATTCCATCCATTGGCCAAAACTTCAAGGAATATGAAATGCTCAAAAAGGGGGGAAAAAAAGAGCCCTGCCAAAACACTGCTATTGCTGTATTGTAAAACAAACTGTCAAACCAAAATGGCCCTCTCAAACTTTTCAATACAGAGGGAGGGATAATTACTTCACACGTCACAATATTTGGAAGAAAGGTTTCTGGACAGAAGAAAGAAATTGTATACTAAAGTGTATCTGATTTCTGCGGCAATGTCAATTCTTCAATACACCAAGCTTTTATCAAAGCAAGACGTTTGAAGCATTTCCTTCAATAAACACCAACAGCTTACAGAAGGTGATTATGGCTTCCACAAATATGATTTGGTTTCCAAATTCCATCTTTAAGACTGACTGTCCACTCTGTCATTTTGCAAGTAAATAAATCAGTATTTGACAGTGCAGTCATTGTCAGATGTGATGAATATCAGTGATGATGTAATCAGAATCAGAATGCCAAGAGACATACTCACACAACAACTAAGAGTGTAAGTGTGGACGTTTTGCCTCTGCTCATGTCTTTTTTCCACAGTGCTGAACTAGTAAGGTGCATAAGGTGCTCGAGACAACATAATTGACATTTTACACACCAAGTCATACCCAAAACCGCTGACTTGTACACTCATATTCACTACAAAGTGAATGCCACATAGTTCGCTATATAAAAAGAAATACTGAAAATGAGTGTATCAAGAAGACAGCTCAATAAAAAATATAAATGTAAAAAATCACAGACGCAGTGAATTTTTTAAAATTTATAAATAAAAGCAAAATATTTTTTTTCTGATGTGAGCATCAAAACAATACCCTACCGTATTGCAATGCATCAAAGCTGTCAATCCAACACAGTCAAGAATAACTTAAAGAGGTTGCCACCGTTCCCCGTGTCACTTGAAATGTTTCCGTTTTTAACGTTTGTTACCAAAGGTGAGACACGTGAGGAAATAATAAACGATCAGTTGTGGGACTATATCATGTCATAAATCGCACACCATTCACTGCTGAACTTTCTACCGACCGTTACTGGAAATTAAATTAAATTACTGGTTGATATGTCCCGATCTCAATAAAGTTTACACACGCTTTTGGTCCGTGAATTAGATCTCGCTCGGGACGCAAATCACTGCTATTCCGAGAGTGAATTTCGCATAAATATTGTGGATGTCATTCCCGAAACTTTCCAGGGTGTAGCCTATGTGTCCGAAAAACAAAAGTTTCATACAAATTCTGAATGGATAGAAAGTGTGCAAAGCACGCTCCCTTTATCACTAAAAAGCGTCACTCATCTTCGCTCATCGCGATCTTACAAAGATCCGTTATAATCAATGAAGCTCTCTAAACTGCACAATGAAAGTGCAAAACTGCACTTAAAAACTGAAATCAACAGATATGTCTGTGATTGGTTACATTGCTCAACGCTGCAAAAACACATTGAGGGTATTTAGCGCTTGGCTATGCGCTGCAGCGGGGTCGACATCAGGGATTCCATTACTAACAATTTGGGGGGCAACTGCCACCCCCTAATGTCGCCCATGGTTTCCACAATAATATTATGCCATAAATTCAGCTTTGCTAATCCGTTATAATCAATGAAGCTCTCTAAACTGCACAATGAAAGTGCAAAACTGCACTTAAAAACTGAAATCAACAGATATGTCTGTGATTGGTTACATTGCTCAACGCTGCAAAAACACATTGAGGGTATTTAGCGCTTGGCTATGCGCTGCAGCGGGGTCGACATCAGGGATTCCATTACTAACAATTTGGGGGGCAACTGCCCCCCCCCTAATGTCGCCCATGGTTTCCACAATAATATTATGCCATAAATTCAGCTTTGCTATGACAGGAATAAATAAAAAAAGATATATTAAATATATATTAAAACAGAAAACAGTTACTTTTATTACTGTTTTTTGCTTCTATAACAAATGTAGCTATTTTTAAGCTCACCAACCCCAACCTTTTGAACAGTAGTGTACAAAACAGAAATAGACGCAATGAGAGTAGCTGCCATATTTAATTTGACGCAGAAGTATGAAAAATTATGGACACACAGGTACCAAGCCACAACATAATGAACAAAGTGCATTGCTTTCAGCCTTGTGTTTGTTAGTTTCAAATCAAGCATGGCAGCTATTGTTTAAGGCCCATATAGCATGCATTTTCTAACCCACTAGTACGCCACTTTCTCGGTGGTTGAGACGCACAAAGTGTTTGCGGTTTTAAATCAGTACTAATAACGCAACTGGAATAAGAAAGAAGTGAACTTTTGAAAGGACTTTTGAAATGCATCCAAAAATGTGTTGGTATCTGCAAAGAGCCGTCTTTGATCATCCAGTCCTACAGAGCACTGGTGGTGCCATGGGCCCATAGGACTGCACTTCTGAGGCTCACTCGAGGAGGGGTGGAGCGCCCTGCCCCGGTCCCTCAAGGAAAACCATCTGGATATGTTCACCCTGCTCCCAGCAACACGCTCGTCGCCCACCTGCTTTGCCTCCAGAGCAAAGCCGCATGAAAAATGCACAGTATCTCTGATGCAAGGGCAGAGGAATTACACGATCAAGAGTTTTGAAATGAGTTCAACTTCTGAAACCAACAAAAGCTAGTGCGATATAGTTGACAAACTCTCGCCTGCATAAAAACAAAGCGGCAACCATTTGAAGGGAAAATGCATAAAATTTAAAAAAAAATTTTTTTCTTGACTTGCATTACATTGCACTGCTGAAAGGGCTTTGATAGCTCTAAAAATCCTGTAAAAATCAAATTAACGCACAAATTTAGTCCAATTAATATGCAATAGGAAAATTAATGCAATTAATCATGCCCCCAAACCTTTGGTAGAAGAAAAAAATGTATGTTTTTAAATTATTTACTCGTCTGCCTCACTAATGTAATGTCTGATGTAATGAATTATCATTAGTTGTTTCACAGCAAAAAAAAAAAAAAAGCTTATATAAAATAATTTTGAAATCATTGAATTAATATGGTTACATTTTTAATTGACAGGCATCTCTAAAACACTGTAGGTGAAACACAATTTGCCTTTTTATGCCTTTCAAACGATTAATCTCGATTAATCACATCCAATTTTTTTAAAGTTATTTTAAGATTGAATAGTCATATTTTATTTTATTTCAGTTTCATTTAAATGAACAAAAATGATTTTTAATAGTTTTCATTTTAGTTAACAATAACAACACTGGTGCACACTGACAATCGTGGTCCTGACTGCGTAGTGTGTAGTACATTGCATCATTTGAGACACAACCTTTAACTAATCATGATCTACAATTCTACAAGAGCTGTTATTCAGTTGAAAACTGGTTGGGATCAACAAATAAAGGTACCTTAAAAGCACACGGCACTAAAGACAAACAGAAAACAGAAGAGTTACGTAATCATAGCTCGTCCAGTGGGGAATCGAAAGGATGACTAATGCATTATGGGTTGTAGGGGCTTTATAGCATACAGTGGCCCTATATATCACCAATTAGGCCTGTCCGACCTTTTCAAGAGAGTTCTGTGCCAGGTATGTTGCCATTCTCCACTGCACAAGCAATCCAGACAAGTACAAACAAGCATCAAATGATAGGGCGATGTGTGATATTCATCACAAAATCAATACCTTTACTCCACAACACATGGAAGTACCGCTCATCAATCGGCTGATTTAGGATAACCAAGCAAATCCGCTGTTTTCCTGGTGAAAGAACAGAAGAAACACACAGAAAGTGAACATTAATGGGCAGCTATATTTCAACAGCATCCTGTGGTTATGATGCAGTCTCAGTTCTCCCATTTACAGTGCGAAACTGAGAAAAACACATTTTAATATTTGGTTTCATCTGGTGAGATACAGCTCTAAATAGAAGCAGCTAATAAAAAACAGCAAGAGAAATAACTGTGATAATAGAGCCTAATGCCTTTGGTAATTGCATAAACACAAATTCTGATGGTTTTTCCACAACGGCTAGATGTACTTTATGTGCAGCAATGTAAAGCAAACTGTGTAATATTAACAAAGCAATTTCAGCTTTACAGATATTATTTAACATATTAAATGTAGAAGATCACTTTTATTCTTGGTAATACTACAGAAAATCAATAAATAGTCAGTAAAGAACATAAAAAATAAAAAAAATAAAGCAAAACACTCCACCACAATGTATAAGCTCCCATAATATATAAACAGAAATATTAAATTTAAATGTTATTTACATATTTATTTATTCACTTGGACAAATGAATGAATGAATGAATGAATGAATGAATGAAAACATAAATTACAGTAATGAGAAATGGGGTGCTTAAATGTCATAAAAATATTCTTTCAAAAATCTTTCTTATTTGGATGAATGAATGAACGAACAAACGAATAATGGACAATAATGACAAATGGGTTGCTTAAATGTTATAAAATATTCTTTAAAAAATGTTCTTATTTGAACGAATGAATTAATGAATCAATCAATCAATCAAATAAATGAATATAAGAAAGTAACGAGAATTGAGGTGCTTAAAAGTTATACTTTTTTAAAAATCTTTCTTATTTGGATGAATGAATGAATGACAGTAATGAGAAATGGGTGCTTGAATGTTATAAAAAGATTCCTAAAAAATCTCTTATTTGGATGAATGAACGAACGAACGAACGAATAAAAGACAGTAATGACAAATGGGGTGCTTAAATGTTATGAAAAAATTATTAAAAAATATTTCTTATTTGAATGAATGAACGATCGAATGAATCAATCAATCAAATAAACGAATAAAAGACTGTAATGACGAGAAATGAGGTGCTCAAATGTAATGAAAGAATTCATTAAAAATCTTTCACTTCATTTTTTAGAGCAAAAGATTATTTCTGATTTCTTTTTTTGTTGGAGACGAACCCTAATATTATCATTTTTTTATATAAACAAAAGAATTTTGGAGGCAGTACAATAAAAAAAATAGAAAAACCGTTAGACAAAAACAGTTGGAACATATAAGTCACATTCTGTCACATACTGATCCAACTATACAATCTGAAACACTCTATGGGAGAAAACGAAATGCGATTACTCCATAACTTAGTGTTTTTAATATTTCAAGATAATGTTCTGTAAGGCATCTCAGAGCTCCAAGCAGTCCCAAATGCATGGGTTCACACATTTAATTGCGATACATTTCAGAGCCAAGCTGCTCACACATTTTTAATTATAGTTATTTTAACATGAAGCTAATCAGACACTTCTTCGTTCAGCACAATGCTACAATTGAATAGCATCCCAAAATCTCTACATGGCTAATAAATGCTGGCAGCATTAATGACATACAGCTGCATTAATGCATTGATTTTTTTAGTACACATTGTTAAAAAAAGAATAACCAACAAAGTGTACGTGTCAAAACTCTCTCTGAATAAATCACAGGTATCCTGATGCAGCTGTGCACAGAACACATCTTGCAGAACAGACTGAGAAAATATCAAGGTCCTGAAGTGCAAACACTGTGTATAAATGAATGAGAGCTATCGCAACACCATTGGCAGTGGCGAAAGGTAGACAACTCTAAGAAGAAACAACATCTGTATTTTGCAACAGTTATACCACATTGGTTTTTCACATTTCAGATCTCCTCTTCTGGTAAATTACATTTTTGACAGAACAAACTTTTAGTAGAGCACCAAGGACATTTTCCGCATTTGAATATTTTCTTTGGGAATTATCAATTGAAATACACAGAAATTATCATATACCAAATTAGCTGAGAGCTTGCTGTTCATTGGGATACAACACATTTGCAATTCAACACATAAACGAGCTGGGTTTGATTAGTTCACAAACTGGAATGAATAGGACATGAAACACAATTTCTTATTCTAAACAGCCTTCTATTAAATATAAATATTGAATATGTATGAATTTAAGGATTGGAAGCACATGCTGAGACATGAGAATCGAGAATGGGGTATTTTTGGACTAGATCAAAAATCTGGGTCATGTCTTCAGTCTTCATTTTATTGAAGGGCTATATAGAACATTTCAGAGAAGAGTAAGGTCACATGAGTCCATCTATTCCAGGGAATTTTTGTTCTCATGAGTCTTTTGTCTTGAAATCTCTTGAGTATGTAGACCTTATGGGAAAACGGTATACAAATTAGGTACAGCAAGTACACTAACAACAGCTCTACAGTAAAAGCAAGGGGGGGAAAAACTTTTAATTTGAAAAAAAATTTGATTTTGCAATCATGGCAAAATAATAACTAAATATAATTATTTCATTACATTACACTACATATTACATTATTACATATAATAATGCATGCAATCGTTTGTACTCCACTAGTGGAGTGGTGTTGTTTCATCTAATAGTTATAAAATATAGATATTAAATGAAAAAGTTAAACTTAAAACAACTTTGACTAAACTAACTGAAACAAAATAGTACTACAATAACTACATCTAAAATGTAATTACATATAAATTACAAATAAATAGAATTATTAAAAAATAAATTTAACATTGATTAGTATCTATTATTAATTAAAAACAAATGACAATTACATAATATTACTAAAACAAACTTAAACTGAAAATATAAAAATTAAAGCTAATTCAAAATAGCAATCAGAATAAGAATCAGAAATATGACAAATATGTTTACACACACAAAGAATTCATCTTTGTGGCAGAAGAAACTTCTTTATATAATTTTATATAGACACAATATTAGTATATAAATAATGCTAAAATAATACTGCACTGCAGTCTACATCTGAAACTGCTCTTTACATTTCCAAAAGTTATTCGAATTACAATGAGGATAACAAAGTTTGTTTTAAGAATTCTTAAAGAGCAGCACTTTTTTTGAGGCTTTTTACGTCTGGTTAAAAAGCATGGTTTGCGGTTTGTGAATAAGACAGGTTTTGCTGTGAAATACAGAGCAAAAGTGGCATACAGCTGTTTAGTGGTTAGCTTGTGAACCTTCTTTACCACCTAACCGGTGAAAATTTGCAGGGAAGCTAACAGCAGGACAAAAGTTATGTTAGTCGTTGAGAATGCATTCATTACTGTAATGACCACAGGCAATCTCAGACACATTGAAAGCATGGCTGCAATTCTTGGCCAATCATTAGAGCCTGATTACTTACTTTCTGGTCATGTATTTATGGGGCACCTACACAGACAGGGATATAATTTTGAGCAAAAAAAATTTAAATCCTCCAGAACACATCTGATATTTTGCTGTAGACTGCTCTCGGATTTTTAGAAATGTGTCTTTTTTTGTCCAGTTATTGCATGGGGGGGCTGTTATCCATTTTTGCAGAAAGTAAACTTGACTGGGCTCATTAGCTGATTACCAAATTGCTTCTACCATCCTATTAAAAAACAAAATACTAAACAACCAGAGCCAGCATTGCCTGACCTTTGAAATTTCTGGCTGGTTTTAATAGTTCCTGTTTTTTTGCTTAAGTAAACAGCAAAGTTTTAAGGTAATATATTAAAAGAAACCAAAACTGTATGTAGAGATCTAATAAAAATGCACACAGAAAACCACATTGTGTGTAAAATATGCAAAACAGACATTTGGTATCATCAATATGCCCATCTGTGCAAACCGAGTAAATGATTAAAAAAATAATTACACCTGAATAAACACTGTGGAGGTGCATAATTTATACAGAAATGACGGACAGGAAACCATTTAAAATCTTATTCTTAGCTGTAGGGAATTAAAAACACTGAAAATAAAAGATTTTCGTTCAAATGAGGTTGGAATGTGTAAGACATATAGCACCTTAAAATAACTGTGAACATGCAAAGTGGCCAATTTAAAGCATTTGAAGTGTAACTGTGTTGCACTGTGATACATTTATTAACTATGTTTATGTTCTTTGGGACAAAGTGTAAATGCATGCATGAGCGAGAATAAATGCATTCAGACTTTTAAATGAGTTTAAAATGAATAAATACCTGAAGGCAAAAGGCAATCTAATGGAGCGAATTCATCCATGGTTGTGTTTATATAATAAGCTGGATTCATCAACTGTAGAGGAAAATAAAGAAAAACATATACAATATTAAAAGACAGCAAAAAGGCTTTGTTTCTGTAGAGTGAATATCTGACAAATTAGATGTTCTAATCAAAACAACAGCTTTCTATTATGACAGATAAAGAGATGCGCTGAAAACTAAAACACTATAAACCATTTAAAGTGTTTAAAATTAGACATAGAAATGGAACAAATGCACAGTTATTAAGAAGATCAGATCACTCACCACCTTGTCTACGTGAACTCTTTGTCCTGTGAACACACTTTTCCTATATGACTTATCTATGCTCTCCCCCTGTAATAATGTAACTAGTTTACTTTAGGGTCTCCAGTCCTACTCTTACTCAATTTATTCATCCCAAGAACCTCCCAGGCTCCCACTTAAAAAAGAAAAGACAACAAGCACACATTTGCGAGTGTGATGTTGCTTATATACAACAGTTCAATAAACAAAAGTGAATACATTTTCGACACAACATTAGCAGTTATGTCTGTATTATTGCTTGGTCACTGGAAATAGTACAAAATAAAGTCAAAACGGGATAAAGGTTCTGTGAAGGCTTTGTTTCTGTAGAGTGAATATCTGACAAATTAGATGTTCTAATCAAAACAACAGCTTTTTATTATGACAGATAAAGAGATGCGCTGAAAACTAAAACACTATAAACCATTTAAAGTGTTTAAAATTAGACATAGAAATGGAACAAATGCACAGTTATTAAGAAGATCAGATCACTCACCACCTTATCTACGTGAACTCTTTGTCCTGTGAACACACTTTTCCTATATGACTTATCTATGCTCTCCCCCTGTAATAATGTAACTAGTTTACTTTAGGGTCTCCAGTCCTACTCTTACTCAATTTATTCATCCCAAGAACCTCCCAGGCTCCCACTTAAAAAAGAAAAGACAACAAGCACACATTTGCGAGTGTGATGTTGCTTATATACAACAGTTCAATAAACAAAAGTGAATACATTTTCGACACAACATTAGCAGTTATGTCTGTATTATTGCTTGGTCACTGGAAATAGTACAAAATAAAGTCAAAACGGGATAAAGGTTCTGTGATCAGCAGTAAAGGCCAGAGGGCGTTCTCGCGCTGAAACTCCAAATACGCCTCGCAGAAGAAACCCAGAAAATGCCTATCGCTGCAGCTGAATAAACAGAAGATTCAACGTGACTAATAAACACACGACTACGGCAATATACGGTTTATCTGTGTTCTTATTATTATAATTTTCATTAAAATAAAGTATATTTATAATGCAATGCCTTTATCGCTGCTTAGAATACTTTGAAATATGTTGCGTGCCTTATTCTGTGTAAGAAGCCACATCATCTCACAGAAGGATTTATTTCAAACACTCGACTGATGTTATGAAGTGAGTTTGGAGTAAAAACATGTTATTAAATGTGGTATTTTCACATGCTTTCAGATGGAGCAGCATTTACTTCACAGAGCCGTAGTTTACTGAGAAGCTATGCAAACAGCTGTCATTATCGCAAACGATTTCTTCGATTTCATAATCGCTCAATAAAATCGAGATTTTTTTGGCGTAACTTGTCAGTGAACTACGGCTCTGTGTAGTAAATGCTGCTCCATCTGAAAGCATGTGATGATGATTTACTGCTGATTACAGAACCGGCTTTATTAACAAAATGTGCATGACAATCGCATTCGATTAATCGTGCAGCCCTAATATTAATGCAATAAAAGACCAGTTAAGTGCACTTAAAGAGAGTACACTTTCAGAACTGTTTTTAAAACACTTAAGTACACTTTTAAAAAAGTGCATATTGTAATAATGTCAAATTAAAAGTTTTACTTTACAGTAAAAGTACTGTAAAGTAAAACTTTTAATAATATAATAATTATATATAATAACGCATAATGTTTAATAATCTTTTGTCATTCTTTAAAGTAACTGTTTTGATGAGTTAACTAACATACTAAAGCACGATTATAATTTTAACTATAATGTGTTGTTTGATATTAAAGTTAACATTTTAAATGGATAACACTTTATATTAAGGTGTCCTTGTTACACGTTACATCCTTACTATAGAAAATTATAATAATAACTATAATAACTAAATAATTATGCATAATTACATGCAAGTAGCCCTAAGCCAAACCTTAATCCTAACTATATAGTAAGTACATGTAGTTAATTAATATTACTCAAATGTATATTAATAGTACTTAAATGTATAATCAAACTGTAACAAGGAACACCTTCAAATAAAGTGTAACCTTTAAATGTACTAAATTACAACTTCATTATTACAAATGTGTAATTAGAAATATATTTAACTATATGACTTACAAGTTTCAATAGAAATTAAAGTAGATTTTAGTTAAATTTGTTTAATTTGTCAGGACTCTTTAATCATATTTCAAACTCAAGTTATGAAATTACATGTAAAGGTTTTTAAGTCCTACTTAATTCGGTCAAACAAGCACTCGAAATTCCACTAATTTTGAATTTAATAAAAATTTTAACTATAAAAGATTTTCCTTTCATTGCAATTAATGCGAGTGTCCGAAAACATTACATTCAATTCTTTCTGTAATAAGTACTTTCACTTTTTCACTTACTCTTTTTGAAAATATAGCTACTAAAGTGTACTTCTTTTTCCACAAGAGAACCGCTAAAGTTTTGACAAACATGCAATTTAAACCATAAACTAAAAAGCTTTCAAGACCAGACCAGAAAAAAGAATTTCATTGATTGTTGATTTCATTTTGAAACAGATATCTTATCCTGGCTGTTTATGTCAGCAATGGTTGAGAGGACACCACTTTGAGAATTATATGCAAGATAAATATATAATTATTAACTCAACAGACAGTGCAAAATGTCATTACTTGGATCAATCCTGCTGAGAGCAACAGTTCAATGCAGGTCGAGAGGTGTATCCCTAACACTCTGCCAAAATGGATCAACATAGCAAATAAAAGGGTCTAATCCAACCTGACACCCACAACACTATTGATGAAAGTAGAGTGCTGTCAAAAACAGATTGCACCAGAAACTCACAAACTTAAGCAGGTGGGCCTAGGAATAGTTCACTCAAAAATAAAAATTTACAGATGTTTGTTTCTTCCTCAGAAACAGATTTGTTGAAATTTAGCATTACATCACTTGCTCCATTAAAATGGACATGTATTGATGGACTGGAGTTGTGCTGATTATTGGTTGCTTGTTGTGATGTTTTTATCAGTTGTTTGAACTGTCATTCTGACGGCACCCATTCACTGCAGAGGATCCATTGGTGAGCAAGTGATGTAATGTTAAATTTCTCCAAATCTTTTCCGATTAAGAAACAAATTCATTTATATATTTTTAACAAATTCTCCTTTAAAGAAGCAGTGCACCCTTATTATTTATTGTATTATTTTGTCATTATTTATTCACCCTCATGCTGTTTCTAACCTGTATGACTTTATTTCTTCAGTGGAACACAAAGAGATGGAACACTAGAGATGGTTTGAATCAATCTGGTATTTTCCCCCATGCAATTACAGTGCAATTGAATGGGGGCTGGAGCTGACCAGCTTCAAAAACAGCTGCAAAAGCCCCATAACTGTATCATAAATTTGTGCATTTTATTAGGGCTGCACGATAAATCACATGCGATATTTAACGCTCATCTTGTCAGTAAAGCCGGTTCTGTAATCAGCGGTAAATCTCCATCACGTGCGGGCTTTCACATGGAGCAGCATTAACTACACAGAGCCGTTGTTCACTGACAAGCTGCGCAAAATCACGACCATATTTTGCGCAGCTTGTCAGTGAACAACGGCTCTGTGTAGTTAATGCTGCTCCATGTGAAAGCCCTACATTTTATTCTGGGAAGAATTATCTTTTTTTTGTTTTCTTTAGCTTGCTTCAAATAAAATTCATATGGTATTGAAAAGGGTGACGTAGATCTGGAATGCTCTGATCAAAAGAAAGAAAAAAGCATGTAAATGCTTGAATCATATGGGCAGTGCTGTAATGTGTACGTTTACATACGTTTTACATCTTATGAATGTATGTTTATTTTACATGTCACAAACTAGTCAGTAGAGGAGACTAAATATTTGCTACATTTTGCAGAAACAAAAAAAAAAAACCTTGCTCTTCTGACAACATATATGACAACTTTTTATCACGGTGACTTTCTCCAGACTTTCACAGCTGAATATATGTTAACAATTGAACACTGAATCGTTCAGTGTCATACACGTGTCTCTGTTGTACAAGTTGCTTTTGAGAATGTGCAATTATGTACAAAAATTTTATGAAATACATGCAGTCACTATAATTGCCATCATAAAGTTGTAGATGCATTAAGCACAACTGAAAAGTGATTCTGAAGGTAAACACCTCACAGTTACTTTCTTTCACACTCTAGTATTTCAAAGTAAACTTCTAGAGATATTATTCCATCACAAATGAACAATGACAAATAATTCTTTCATAAAAGTTATGTTAAGCTAAAACATGCCATCAAAATAAAGCTACTGTACGGCGAACCCACCTCGACAACTTACTGAACACTTGACATTTGGCTGTTACAAAACCTACATAGCGACTACCTAGACAGCATTTTAGGCAGCGTACAGTATGCGCGCTCGGCGTTCGTGTTGAAAATGTTTTGGGTACCGAAATATAATACCGCAAAATGCTGTCTAGGTAGTCAGCTCGCTAGTTTAACAGTCAGACACAGCCTGTATTTCCCGTGTACTCACTCTGTGAATGGATAACCAGCAGCACGGGTCCAGTCCACATTTGTGTACAGTCAACGAGAACGAGTGCCGAAGACAAGCGCTTCAGCGCCAGAAAATCGTGTAACGTTTGTCACAGCGACATCTAGAGGTGCTCTGTACACCTGCACTGATTCCATTCAGGTCGACATCCAACATATTTGATTTTTTTTTCAACTTTTTTTATTAATTTGAACAGTATCAATTTACACACTCAAATGGGGATCAATAAAATGCATATGACAAAATATACACTTTACCAATCACATCTCCATCATACATAAATGTCCATGTGTGTATATATGTATATCTCTACATACAATAACAATAAACAAAACAAACATTCTTTAAACATTTGAGGGGGTTTCAAGGAGGAAAAAAAATTTCAATAAAAGGGTTCAAAATCTTACCAGTCTTAAAAGGAAAGAGACTCATGCATGGTTATATACAATTCCCCAAGGGATTGATTATCTTTGGACAAGTATTTTAAAGATTCTAAGTATTTTTTACATTCATTTTTAAAGCAATTTAAAGAGGGTTTACTGTTATTCCACTTACTTTTGTGTATATGATATTTACCCATTGTAATAATAATGTTTAACATCAATGACATGTTTTTCGAAAAAGACCATCTGCACAACCAAAAACCAAAACCTGAAACAAATTCAGTGATGGAATATCAGTGTTGATATGAATATTTAGCCAGCTGTTAAGATCCTGCCAGAACTTCAATGTGACTGGACAAGAAAAAGATAAATGTTCAATGTTCAACACAAGGATCCAGGGGCGTAGCCATCATTTCAAAAGTGGGGGGGACGGAATGTCTAGTGTTATACCTGTTTTATACTGTCTTTCTCCTTATTGTAATGGTTCTGTTATTCCACAATGTAGAACCATGAGGTGTAACATTTTGGGTGAATATCATTTTCCAATAATACAAAATCTGTTTGTGGAATTTTGAAAGCTTAATTGGCAATTTGGAAACCTCAAAATCACATTTTAGCAAAAAATCTAACCCTCCAACTTTCTTGAATACACACTTTGGAATATGAAGGCTGTGCTAAATACGTTTTAATCCAGTTCAGTTTAAGTACTCCAACCGTTGATTCAAATTCAGTGGCTTTCAGACCTCCATTTTTATATTCTTTAATCATCTGAGATGTTTTAATATAATGAGTTTTGTTTTTCCATATAAAATTAAACAATAGAGTTAACCTTTTTTATCAGTTGAGGAGAAACATAAACAGAGTAACATGGGTAAATTAGTTAGATATGCCTTCTGCTTTGGTCAAGAGGATTCTGCCCATAATAGACAGATCTCTCATAAGCCAATGATTAAGGGATTTTTTCATAGTCAATTCTCTCATCTATGTTGACTAATTCTCTCGTTTGTAATTCTATATTCATAATCAGAAATGGTTATTCCTTTTACTTGAGGATGGTTGACAACTATAAGCTAACATTTGAGTGCATAATATAAACAGTTTTGGAGAGATTGGACATCCTTGTCTAATTCCACGCAAAATTTCAATTCTAGGAGTCATACCTGGATTAAGGGATATATAACTATAAATGTTGTTATAAAACATTTTAATAACCTTGCAAAACCCTTCCCCAAACCCAAACATTCTAAGAGTCGTAAATATAAATTCATGCTCCACCGTATCGAATGCTTTAAAAAAAAATCTATAAATAAAATGAGGCTTTCTGATTGTATCAATGATTGATAGTCGATCATATCCAGGATTAGTCTAATATGGTTTTGAATATATCTTCCCTTAATGAATGCTGATTGATACTCCTCTACAAGTTTCCCAAGTACATGTTTAAGACGATTTGCAAACACCAGGGCAAGTAATTTATAATCTGTACATAATAGAGTTATTGGTCTCCAATTATCTAATAATAGCAATTGTTTTTTGGGTTTAGGTAGCAAGGTTATTAAACCTGTTTTCATAGTAGGTGATAAGCTTCCTTCCTGAATGCATTCTAAAAATGCATTATATAATAATTTCCGAATATCTTTCCAAAAATGTTTTAAAAATTCAGTAGTTAATCCATCTATACCTGGTGATTTACTATTATTCATTTGTTTTAAAGCTACATCCATTTCCTCTAAAGTCAACTCATCCTCAATTAAGAATTTGTCTTCCTCATTCAGTTTAGATATTTTATCTCTTATAATCACAAATAAAGAATCACAATCAGCTTTTTTGTAATTGGATCTATAAAGGTTAGAATAGAAAAGCAAAATTTCATTTTTAATGACTTTTTGATCGTCTGTTATAATTTCATTAATCTTAAACTTACTTATTTTTTTCTTTGTTTGTCCTTGTTTTTCAAGGCCGAAAAAATATGATGAACTTTTTTCTCCATTTTCAATCCATTGCGCTCTTGATCGAATATAAGCTCCATTTGCTTTTTCTGAATACAACTCATCTCGTTGAGATTGCAGTGACTGTAATTTTGCTGAATTTTCTGGTGATTCTTGTGTATTACCTGCCAATTTGTTTATTTCTCCAATCAATTCCCTTTGTTTTTGTTTTCTCCTCTCTGATAAAAATTTGCCTATATCAATTGCTATTTGTTTAACCTTAAATTTAAACCATTCCCATTTATTTAAGTTAGACATATCTAGCTTTTCAATCTCCTCAATGAGAGTCAACACCTGTTGATAAAATCTATCATTCTTTAACAAGTCATTATTAAACTTCCAAATATTAGGAGAAATTTGAGGTTTCTTAAAGACTGATAAGGACAGAGTAACCATACAGTGATCTGTAAGTGGGGCAGCTGTAATTTTACATTCCGAGACAATTTTACATAGTTCACAAGAAATAAGCCAATAATCTAATCTCAAACATTGTCCA